GCCTCCTGAGTAGCTGAGACTACAGGCATGTACCACCATGCCCAGCTAATTAAAAATATACATTTTTTTGTGGTGACAGAGTCTTACTATCTTGCCCAGGCTGGTCTTGAATTCCTGGCCTCAAGCAATCCTCCCACCTTAGACTCCCAAAGTCCTAGGATTACAGGTGTGAGCCACCACACCCAGCGGTGATACATTTTGAAATACACTTTTCAGCTGTAGGGCCATGATATGGGATTTAAATTCTCCGTGCCTGTTTCCTTGGGCCTGGTAGAGAAAGTGTGAAGAGCCTATTATGACTGCATACCTGGGAATGATTCTGCTGCCTACTTTGCTGTTAGAAATACTAAGTGAGAAAATAGGGGTAAAAGCTTTAGCATAGAGCCAGGAACACTGTCAGTGCTCCATGAACTGACAGCTATTATTGTAATTATGCATTCAGCCATCAGAAGTTACTGTATGTCAAGAGCTGTGCAAGGCTCAGGGGATGGGATACTAACCAGTTAGGCTGACGAGCGAGCGCCCTGTCCTGAGGGAGTTGCTGTCTGAAGGGGAGCCAGACCAGCCAACCAGTTTCCCTTAACTGGTACATGTGCCCTCTGCCGAGGAAGCAAGAGGTGCTGCAGGAGCCCACAGGAGGAGCACCTGCCCCAAGCCACGGGCGGCAGGCCCCTGCAGTTGCCCTCTGCTGTCTGGATGCCCTCCCCTGGCCTGGAAAGAGCTTCCCCCAGATCGCTCCATGACTCACTCGCTCATGTTATTCAGGACTCTGCTCAGATGCCACCTCCTGAAGGAGCCTTCTCCAACAATGCCCGCCCACCCTACCACATTTGTCATTTCTTTCCATGCCCTCGTCTGGCTTTATTCTCTTTATTCTGGCTTTATTCTCTTTAAAGCACTGATACTTTCTACTGGTGGATTGTGGATCTGTTTTGAAAAATATGTTTATTGACCATTTACCCGCCACAAAGTAGGATTGGAGAAAGCAGGGGCTTTACCTGCTTTTAATTCCTTATTGCATCCCCACTTCATTCATCTCTGATGAATGAAGTGGCCACTAAGCTGGATGCTGTAGGATGCATAGAGGTTGAGCAGGGAAAGGGCCAGGGAGAGGAGAGCAGACACGCAGTATGATATCATGCCCATAAAATCCCCAATCCAAAACTTCCATAAACAATATGTGGTATTGTTTATGGGGTGTCCTATGTATTGTTTATGGGGTCCAAACCAGCTTAGTGGCCACTTCGTTCATCAGAGACAGGTATTGCTGGCTCACTGTGGCCCAGGCATCGTTCTGGGGGTACACTGGGGATGCAATAAGGAATTAAAAGCACGTAAAGCCCCTGCTTTCACCAGGCTTACTTTGTGGCAGGTAAATGCTCAATAAACATATTTTTCAAAACAGATCCACAATCCGCTGGTAGAAAATATCAGTGCTATAAAGAGAAGAAAGCCGGATGAGGGCATGGAAAGAAATGACAAAGGTGGTAGGGTGGGCGGGGATTGTTTTGGACAGAAAGATTGGAGAAGGCTCCTTGGGTAGGAGTTCAGTATGACAGGTGTGTTCATTAATACAGTGGGAGGAGCAGGCATCGAGAGGAGGAGCTTCCTGCTGGAGCTTCCAAATCATGATGTGGGTCTGTCTCCGTAAGGAGCCAGGACAGGATGTCTGATTAGAGAAGAAAGTCTCAGACTGCAGCGTGGTTCTAAGAAGGTTTTGGCCAGGCAGATGGAGAGTCCTTCAGCCAAAGCTGGCCCTCATAGGAATTCCTCATCAGACAGAAGCTAGTGCCATACTATGCTCAGCCTCTGGCTGGAATTAGCCCAGGGGACATGTGGCTTTGAGGGGATACAGTGAAGGATCCCAAAAGGTGGGAGCTGTGGCTGTCACTTGACTGCTCCCTGCAGCATGATGGTGCAATTACATGGCTTCCTAACAAGCAGAGAGGGCCAGGGAGGATGTATGTGGTGAGAGCTGAGTCTGGAGAGCTAAACATGGACCAGATCACTAACGGTTCTTCAGGCCCTGTTAAAGAATTGGACTTTATCGTGAGGGCAATGAGATACCAGGGTATAGTTCTGTTCAGGGGAAACAGGAAGATTGGATTTGTATGTCAGAGGGATCACTTTGGCTATTATATAGAACATGGAAACCAAAACCTTTTAAAAAGTCTAGACTAGTAATCCAGGCTGTTGGTTTTAGAGAGTCAAAGCATGGCACCCTTTTCATGTTTTTGTTTTTCCTTTGGTTTTGGTTTTCATTCTCGCTGTGAAAGAAGTTTGAGAAATAGACACAGGTGGCCTCCTTGTGAAGGTCAAACCTCAACTTTTTTGCTGAATAAGCTGTTGGCAAATGTGCCTTCATCGTGAGGGCCAAATGGGTTTCCGAGCACTCCCTACCCCATGGTTCCCTCCAGTCTAGGCCGTGGGCAGTCACTCAGGCATCCATCTGGGTCTCCTCTGCAGAATCACCGCCTTCCTCTGTCCAGGATGAGGAGGGGAAGAAGAGGCAGGTCTTTCCACTGCTGAGTTCTACCTAATGGAGAAACGTGGACACCCGTCACCCCAGGTGAGTGGCCATAAGTGTTAGTACTAGAAGCACAAGGATGGGAAATCTATGTTCTCCACATTTGCAGGTGAGAGATAATGGTATCTCAGTCAGGTTGGTGGCGCTGGCGGGAGGAGGACAGAAAGAAGAATTGACAAGACTTAGTAATTGACCAGACGGTGTGGGTGATGGTTCTATGTGCTCAAGGAAAGGTCAAGAATGAGGCTCGGCCGGGCGCGGTGGCTCAAGCCTGTAATCCCAGCACTTTGGGAGGCCGAGGCGGGTGGATCACGAGGTCGAGGGATCGAGACCATCCTGGTCAATATGGTGAAACCCCGTCTCTACTAAAAATGCAAAAAATTAGCTGGGCATGGTGGCACGTGCCTGTAATCCCAGCTACTCAGGAGGCTGAGGCAGGAGAATTGCTTGAACCCAGGAGGCGGAGGTTGCGGTGAGCCGAGATCGTGCCATTGCACTCCAGCCTGGGTAACAAGAGCGAAACTCCGTCTCAAAAAAAAAAAAAAAAAAAAAAAAAGAATGAGGCTCAGTGGTCTGCCTTGCGCAACAATAGTGGGCCATGCAGTTCTATTTCCTCCACTTCCAGCCCATAAGCTACCTTTGTGGGAGTTAGAAACAGGGCCCTCTGAGCAGGGATAGCTATTGCAGAGGTGACAGCCTGTGAGTGGCATGGGCTGGATTCTGTCTCCCACACTCCTCCTGGCTAGAGGCCTCTGTGCAGGCCATACACTGTGGACCAGACACCACTGACTGAAACAGGGAGCCGGGGGCCAATTGGTGAGCTGAATTTTAAGCATATTAGGTTTGAGGTGTCTCAATATGAAATTGAGAGTCACTGTTTCTTCTTGTTATTATTGAGGTGAAATTCACATAACATAAAATTAACCATTTTATTTTATTTTATTTTATTTTATTTTAGGGATAGAGTCTTACTCTGTCACCCAGGCTGAAATGCAGTGGTGTGATCTCAGCTCACTGCAACCTCCACCTCACAAGGTTTAAGTGATTCTCCTGCCTCAGCCTCCTGAGTAACTGGGATTACAGGTGCCTGCCACCAAACTCAGGTAATTTTTGCATGTTTAGTACAGACAGTGTTTTTCATGTTGGCCAGGCTGGTCTCAAACTCTTGATCTCAAGTGATCCGTCCACCTTGGCCTCCCAAAGTGCTGGGATTACAGGCATGAGCCACTGTGCCTGGTCAAAATTAGCCGTTTTAAAGTGTACAGTGGCATGGAGTACATTCACAGTGTTGTACAGCCATTGCTTCTCTCTAGTTCCAAAACATTTTCATCACCTGCAAAAAAGATTCCATACTCAATAAGCAGTCACTTCCCAGTCCCATTTCCCTTCCCCTCAGCCCTAAGCAACCACTAATCTGCTCTCTTTATGGATTTACCTGTGCTGAATATTTCATATAAATGAAATCCTGGCCAGGTGTGGTGGGTCACACCTATAATTCCAGCAGTTAGGGAGGTTGAGGTGGGAAGATTGCTTAACCTCAGGAGTTCAAGACCAGCCTGGGCAACATAGCAAGACCTCATCTCTACTAAAATTCAAAAAATATATATTGAAAATAAAAATAAATGGACTCCTACAGTGTTGACCTTTTGTGCTTGGTGTCTCTAATTTAGCATTTGTTTGTTTATTTATTTATTTTTTAGACTCAGTCTTGCTCTGTTACCAGGCTGGAGTGCAGTGGCACGATCTCTGCTTGCTGCAAACTCCTGGGTTCAAGCGATTCTCCTGCCACAGCTTCCCGAGTAGCTGGGATTACAGGCGTGTGCCACCACACCCAGCAATTTTTGTATTTTTAGTAGAGACGGGGTTTCTCCATGTTGGCCAGGATGGTCTGGATCTCTTGACCTGATCCAGGTCTGCCTCGGCCTCCCAAAGTGCTGGGATTACAGGCGTGAGCCACCACTCCCGGCCTATTTCTTTTTAAGACTGGGGAAAAGACAGGAAGAAGCCAGTAGAGAAGGGAAATGTTGAAAACACAGGAGAGCAAGAAGTGACCAATAGGATGCATCCCTGAGAATGTGGGGACAGGGGGTGGGGGGAGCCCAGGACAAACTGCCTTTATACCTACCAGGGACTCCTCTCACTGAGGAAGTAGGAGGGATGGGGCAGATGCTGACAAGATCCCCATGATAGGTTTGGTGGCAGCTGAGGAGATTTACACCTAATGGTGTCTGTTTTTTCTGTGAAATAAGAGGTTGGCCATCTACTGAGAGGAGAGTAGCAGTATTGCAGGTTTGAAGAAAATGATGATAATTGGAAATAGCTGCTGTAGAGAAAGGGCAAAATCTTGCCAGGGAAATAGAGGAGGTTTTCCAGGCAATGCTGAGAGCCTGGTGAGGCTGGGGTCAGTGAATTCACAGCAATATAAGCCTGTGGTGTGCTCTGATTTATCTGCAGATCTCAGCAGCCTGGAGGTGAATGAGTTGTACATGTCACATTTGGAGCCATGACAACCATCCTGCGACCATGAGGACACAAGTCTAAAGGTAAACACTGAGGATGGCGGAGCAGAGGATGGTTGGGGTCCCTCGGGCTGTTCTGTGCACAGTAGTGAGATGACTCTGTTCAGAAGTCAGAACTCATTGCTCCTCTCTCAAAACCCTCAGATGGCTTCCTCTCTCTCCAAGAATACAATTTCAAGTCCATAAAGCCCCAGGTGATCTGACTCCCCGCTGCCTTTTTGATCTCATCCTTTTACTCTCCCCCTTCCTCCTTCCCTCCAAGCCCACCTCTGGCTTCCTTGTTGATCCTTCAGTGTTTCCAGCACACTCCCACCTCATGGCCTCTGCTCTGGCTGTTCCGCTTTGCCTGGGGTGCTCTCAGCCCAGACACCTGGCCTGTTCACCCCTTTGCTTCAGCTCCCTGTGTCAATGTTGCCTCCTTGGAGAAGCAGTCTCTGACCACCCTCTTTCTAAGGCACCCCCTTCTTCATCACTCTGTTCCGTTTTCCCGCCTTATTGCTTTTCAGAACACATATTAGCACCTCACACTTTAAGGACTTATTTATTCTCTCACACACATACTCTTACACTTCCTCATGCTCACACGCACACACACACACACACACACACACACACACAAACTCTCACAGTCATATGCACTCATGCTCCCTGATACACGCACACACTCACACTGTCTCACTCACATGCTCACCCGCACTCACTCTCACACATATGCACAAATGTGAGCTTCCAGAGAGTGGCACCCTGGTCCATTCCTCAGCACCTAGAACAGTACCTGGTACCTAGTAGGTATTCAACAAATATTTATTGAATTAATTAATTAATTAATTAATTAAAATAAAAAGCCAGGGGCTGGGTGTGGTGGCTCACACCTGTAATCCCAGCACTTTGGGAGGCTGAGACGGGCGCATCACCTAAGGTCAAGAGCTCAAGACCAGCCTGACCAACATGGTGAAAGCCTATCTCTATTAAAAATACAAAATTAGCTGGGCATAGTGGCACATGCCTATAATCTCAGCTACTTGGGAGGCTGAGGCAGGAGACTTGCTTAAACCCGGGAGGCCAAGGTTGCAGAGATCCGAGATCGTGCCATTGCATTACAGCCTGGGCAACAAGAACTAAACAACATCTCAAAAAATAAAAAGTAAAAATAAAAAGCCAGAGTCCTTGATGACGTTACTGGGTCACTAAACTGACGGTGGAACCACCCAGGCCCAGACTTTTTGTCATGGGAGAGAGTTATCAACTGCTAGGTTGTAGGAGAAAACAGCCAAGGGCGAAGCAGGAGGCAGGGCATGAGCACCCAGGATTGCATCCCTGGCACCCTGGTCAGAGCCCGCCCACTTCACCCATGGCCTGGTCCAGCTGGCCTGCCCCAGCCCTGCAGAGAAACTGAAACCAGACTGACCCCATCTCTACTAAGCTGATGGAGCTGCCCCACCTCAGGTGCTGCTGGTTGCTTTGCCAGAATGAGAAAGATGAATGAATCTTGCACCAGCTCCTGCCTGGCAGTGACACACCTCAGCTCCATTTGCCTTCGCTCACCAATGCAAATGATGTGGCCACACCTAACTTCAAGGGGAAGGAAGTTTAATCCTCTCATGTTCCAGGTGGAGTACTAAAAGCACTTGGTAGACAACACCAACAACTGCCACCGAGTTTGTAGACAGAATCACGTAGGACTTGTGGGTACTGAGCACCAGTTCAAGCCAAGGACAAAATGAAGTCTCCATTTTTAACAGAAGAATCTGGGCCTGCAAATAAACAGGTCAGTGAATTATTCCAATAGGAAACTCACTGGAATATAAGAACATTTATTTATTACTCTGGCAACACCAAGATATGGTACCCCCCCATGCATGAACAAGCAGGGACCACCTTGGTTCCACCTTCCTGTGGGAACAGTCGCCTGTCAGCTTGTGTGGTGTTCTTTCCTTAATGGGCTGTTTTCATATGAAAAAGCCCTTGTCTCCAGCAGCAACCCAGTTAGGTCTCTGGTTATTTTTGCATTTTGTACCTCCCATCACATGTTAGGGTTGGACAAAGATCCAGGAAGCCAGGCTTGGAAGAGAGGCTGCCTGAGTCATGACATAGATGCTGCTGTCTGGAGAGCCAGGGCTCCCCTGCAATATCCAGCCTGCTCTCCTGGTCCACCAGCACTACCTGGGAAAGGTTAGTGCCACACACGCAGCCCTGGGCAACAAAGTAGAGGCTGAACTGAAACAGATACTGACTGAAATAAGACCTGCCAATTATTGTATAGATCTGTGCTTTTCAAATTTTTAAAAAACAGTTTCTTTAGATCAACATACAAATCTCAAAGGTCATCCCTGACCCAAGGTTCTGATACATGAAGAAGCACCTCTCTTGTCTGTGTGTCCCCACTTGCCAAGAGCATTTTAATGAATTTTACTTTCTATACTTTTGCCAGAAGATGAAAATTTCCAGATGTAAAATTGTTATTATTTATAACTATTAATTATATGAAAATTGAACCTTCCTTTTAAAAACACTCACTTTCCTGTGAACCAGCAAGTGCATTACTCCCTTGGGCTGGAGGCCCCAGGTAAGACTAGATGAACTCCAGCAGAGACTCTGACAAATGAGTGACAATGTTGGTTCAGAGAGAAATGTGAAGCCCAGCAAACATATGTTCAAATCCAGATGGCATCATTTAGTAAACATGCACCCTGAGCAACTTTCCAGGGCTGATTTTCTTGTCTATAAAATGGGAACAACAGGTACAGTACCATCTAGTCCACTGCGGTCACCAGAAGAAACTAGACAATGTAACATACAAGGAATGTTTAGAAGCAAGTATGTAACAAACGCTCAGCAAATGGCGATCACGTTTTAACTTGTCCACCCAAATAGATAAAACCAGTGGTCACATGGAACTGAGAATTTTCTCAATGTACGATTTTTACATCTTAATTTCTTTGGGCTTTTCTTTTCTGGAAGGGGATGAACACAGATAAAAAGAGAGTTTAAGAGCTCTTCATGGAAAGATAGCCAAACCGTTAAAATACTATTTCAACAGAGGAGGTCACAGAATGATGGAATGGTAGATCTATAGGACTAAAGGGGACCTTGTATTTGCCACTTTTATCTGGTTCGTGAAACTGAGACCCAGAGAGGTAAAGGGGTGTGCTCAGTCCCATAGCTGAGTTGCAGACTATGTGAATGGCACCTGTTGGTATCACGCAACGCATAACAACCACCTGTGCAGCCTCATGGCCCTGCACAACCTCCTGACCACAGTGATGGAATAAAGTGGTCCAGTTAGTGGTATTTTCAAGCCTCTGGAGATGTTGATACAATGACCCCTCTTCTTTTCCCATGCCCTGAAATATTGTAGCCCAAGAAGCTGTGGATGCTCTTATAGCTGTGAAGGGAGGGACTCCCCAAGGAGAGAGGTAACCTAGAGTTGAGAGATGGAGGAAGAGACACAGAATCTGGATGGCTTTGCTCAGCTCCTGTAATCCAACTATGCCTGAATGTGGATCTATCTTCCAAAGGTAGGCTGCTTTTCATTTGTTTGTTTGAGCCAGCTGGTATCAGATGGTCTATCACGTACCACCTTGTTATAATTAATGGAGGAGCTCAAAGAGCTATAAATATCTGAGGAGGAAGACTTCAGGTTGCAAAGCCTTCCTGGACCAGGTTGCTTCAAAGGAAGGTCTGAAAGGAAGAATGGGAGGTAGGCAGGCTGGGAAGGGAGAGACAATTCAGGGAAGGAGAAGACCATGAGCAGAGGCCTGAGATAGAGAGACTGGATGCTAGTGCCTCCCCCTGCTCCCAATCCACTTGTTGAAGCCCAGTCACCCGAGTGATGGTGTTAGGTAGTCTGGCCTTTGGAAGATAATTAGGCCATGAGGGTGAATCTCTCATGAACAGGATTAGTGTCTTCATGAAAAGACAGGAGAGAGCTTGCTTTCTATCCTCTCTGCCATGAGGACACACACAAAAAATGGTCATCAGCAACCAGGAAGAGGTCCCTTACCAGCGCCAACAATGCTGGTGCCCTGATCTCAGACTTCTTGGCCTCCAGGATAGTGAGAAATAAATCTCTGTTGTCTAAGCCACCCAACATAGAGTCATGTATAACAGCACAGAGTGACTGAGACACCTGGGGTGGGTGTGTTTGGGGAGTCATGTTTAATTAAGTCCATTTGGTTAGAGTGTTGGATACCCGAAGCAGGTAATGGGGGTTAGGATTGAAGATGTAGGTTCCTACCAGTCTGTGAGTTTCTTCTTTTGTATTTTGGATAATAATTCAGCAAGAGAGGAAGGACGAGAATGAAAGAACTGGTTGTGAGACTATTGGTAATTTTTGAAGCTAGAGAATCTATGGCTTCTAGGGTGATCAGCTGTTCTGATTTGCCCGGGACTGAGGAGTTTCCCAGGATGTGAGACTTTCAGTGCTAAGACTGAACAGTTCCATGCAAACGGGGATGATTGATCACCCTGAAATATCACCCAAAACCCTAAAGGAGGATATTGATAGATTTCATTCAGTAAAAAATGACATGCGAGTGGCCAGGCACGGTGGCTCACACCTGTAATCCCAGCACTTTGGGAGAGGCCCAGGCCAGCGGATCACGAGGTCAGGAGTTCAAAACCAGCCTGGTGTTGACCAGCATGGTGGAACCCTGTCTCTACTAAAAATACAAAAAATTAGCTGGGCGTGGTGGCACACACCCATAGTCCCAGCTACTCAGGAGACTGAGGCAGGAGAATTGCTTGGACCCAGCAGGTAGAGGTTGCAGTGAGCTGAGATTGTGCCACTGCTCTCCAGCCTGGGCAAGAGAGTGAGACTCCATCTTACTAAATTAATTAATTAATTAATTAAAATAAAATTTAAAAACGTGAATAAGAAACAGAAGATAAGGCCGGGCGCGGTGGCTCAAGCCTGTAATCCCAGCACTTTTGGAGGCCGAGGTGGATAGATCATGAGGTCAAGAGATCGAGACCATCCTGGTCAACATGGTGAAACCCCGTCTCTACTAAAAATACAAAAAATTAGCTGGGCATGGTGGCACGTGCCTGTAATCCCAGCTACTCAGGAGGCTGAGGCAGGAGAATTGCTTGAACCCAGGAGGTGGAGGTTGCGGTGAGCTGAGATCGCACCATTGCACTCCAGCCTGGGTAACAAGAGTGAAACTCCATCTCAAAAAAAAAAAAAAAAAGAAAAGAAACAGAAGTCTGAATGCATTGAAACTATTTTTCTCTAGAAAAAAATTAAATGACTATCTCTTTGGGACTCGAGCTATTCAGTGACACTACCCTCCCTTTCCTGATTGCCATCATCCAACCTCCTTGTGCCTGAACCCATCAGTACCAGGAGTCCTGTCACCTCTGAATTCCCAAGTTCTTACAACTCACTTTAGCCAAAATCATCCATATTTGCAGCACTCTCTTGCCCGACACGGCCCTCCAGTCTCCTGGAGCCCTCTGATCCCTCCATTGCTCCTCTTTCTTTTTTCTGTCTTCCTTCTCTAGCTAGCTAAGATCACCTAATCAGTCACTTCAAATAACTTGGTCGATATCATACCCTGTGGTCCTCTGCACTTGGCAAAATTCTCAACTCCAGATCAATTCCACTATCTATCTGCCTTCTGCACACAGGATGTAGAAAACTCTCCTTTGCAGATGAACTCTCAATTGCAGACCAATGCTTCTTTATATTCTTCTCTCCCACTTCTCAGACCGCTGTGAGCCCCAGTTCCACCACTGAACTAGCTGTGTGATTTGGGGCAAGTTGCTTGATTTCTCTGGGTCACTGTTTTCTCACCCAAAAAGTGAGATGTTGTAAGGAATAACTGAGTTAGTACGCATAAAACACTGAGAGCAGGCAATGGCATGTAATGTGCTCCTCATAAATGCTAGCCTTTACTGATGCTGGGATTTTGACTGCACACTTAGAGGGGTTAAATCACTGTCAGGCAGTAGCAGGTCACTGCATTGTGATGTTTGACAAATCACACAGGACACCGAACTGTGCAAAATTTTACTTTTGCAAAGATTTAATTCAACATTTCACCAAAGATGATATACAGACAGCAAATAAACTCATGAGAAGATGCTCAATATCATTAGTTATAAAGGAAATGCTAATTAAAACCACAATATACCACTATGCATATATTACAATGTCGAAAGTTAAAAAGACTGATCATCCCAAATTTTGGCAAGAATATGAAGAAATCAGATCTCTCATACACTGCTAGTGGGAATGGAAAACATTTGAAAGAACAATTTACCATTTCTTTTTTGTTTTTCATGTTTTGGCACTTTCTTAATATGCTAGATCAGGTGTCCCCAAACTTTCTACACAGGGGGCCAGTTCACTGTCCCTCAGACCGTTGGAGGGCCGCCACATACTGTTTTCCTCTCACTGACCACCAATGAAAGAGGTGCCCCTTCCTGAAGTGCCGCGGGGCGGGGGGGGGGGGCGGATAAATGGCCTCAGGGGGCAGCGTGCGGCCCGCAGGGGCCGTAGTTTGGGGACGCCTGCGCTAGATAAACACCTACCATAAGATGCAACTATTCCACACCTAGGTATTTACCCAAAAGACAAGAAAGCATAGGTCCACACAAAGATTTGTACACAAATGTTCACAGCAGCATTATCTATAATGGCCCCCAAACTGGAAACAAGACAAATGTCCCTTAACAGGGACATGGATAGATAAACAAATTGCATTGTATTCATACAGTGGACGTAGTCCTCAATAACAAAAAGAAATGAACTATTGATACAACACAACATGGATGAATCACAAAATTCTACTGAGTGAATGAAGCCAGGGAAAATAGGATGTATGGCTTAATTTCATTTATATAAAATTCTAGAAAATGCAAACTGATTTATGGTGACAGTAGGAAGGTCAGTTATTGGCTGAGGAATGAGGAGGAGAAAGTGAAAAAGGGCAGGAGTGAGAAATTACAAATGGGCTTGAGAAAACTTTTTGGGGTGATGGATATCTTATCTTGATTGTGGTGATGGTTTCACAGGTGTATAAATATGTCAAAACCTGTCAAATATATATAGTTTGTTGTATGCCAGTTGTACTTCAAGAAAGCTATTACAAAATGACTTTTGCAGATTGAGAGTCTCCACTCTTAGAAATGTCAGCTGCAAAAAAGGGAACCCAGTTGACTTGGATAGGAAATGCATGTCACCATATTCCTTAGATACCCCTAAACTAGTGAAATAGCTTAAAGGGATCTGATATGAATAAATATACAATTACTGTTTGGAATATATTTGTTGTGGTTTATTATTTTATAGTTGTATCTGGAATAAGAAACCATGAAGACACATGTAAATATTTTCCAGTGCTAAAATATGTGCCTCTTGAGCAGGCTTGAGTGGATTATTAAGAATTCCAAACAAGTTATATATTAGTTTAACTATAAGTCTAGGACTAAAAAGAAATATGTCTCAAAAAGATGATAAAATAAAACAAGCAAATGTCCACAATGGCAGTTAGCAGCAATTTAGTTAAGTGAAGAGAAGGACGGTCCATGATTCCTTAAGGGGAAGCCAATTCCTGAGGCTTTCTCCCCACACGCGTCAAGGCTGCTGAAGAGGGCATTTCCCAGAGAAGAGCGGCCTCCAATGAGCTCCTGGCCATGTGAGAGAAATTATAAGTAGATGGCTGCCAAGAGGTGGTTTTTCCCAAAGGGGAAATTGTGCCAAACCCGAGTGGGAGAAGGCGGCCAAGAAGAGAGCAGGCTCACCACAATGTAAAGTAGCAAGAGAGGAAAAGCGCCCAGGTCACACTGCCTCTCTCACTGTCAGACTAATAACTGTCATTCCTTGCTGCTGTCGTTTCCTCCAGCAGCAATCCCCTATCTGCCAATTTTCTTTCCTAATCTTGGGCTAGAATCCCCTGAGATGTATGGAGCATTTCACGAGGTAGGTACTACTGGAAATAGCACCAGATTTCCCTGAACAATGAAAAACCTAAAACCCAAAAGGAGCAGGGTATTCAGGCAAGTAGAATAACTATAACAAATAACTAAATATAAGAAATAGCCAGGTGTGGTGGCTCACGAGTTTGAGGCTGCAGTGAGCTATGATTGTGCCACTGTACCCAGAGTCTTAGCAAGACCATGTTTCTGGAGGGTGGGGGGAATGTATACAGAGGCCAGGCATGGTGGCTCATGCCTGTAATCCCAGCACTTTGGGAGACTGAGGTGGGTGGATCACTTGGGGTCAGGAGTTTTCAAATGTCCCTTGGAACTGACATAAATGGTTCCTACAAAAGAAGAAAGGCAAGGAAGAGTTGAGGCACTAGCTATCCCTGTAGCTGTGGGTGAGCTGCCTGGCCTTTTCAAGCCTCAGTTTCCTTGCCTGTCAAATGGTATTGTTAATGCCCACCTCACAGGGTTGCTGAGATGCTAAGTGCCCGGAAAGTGTTTTGCAAAAGCCAAAGCATTTTACCAACACGGAAAATTAGCCCTTCTGGGGGGTCTATGGAAAATCAGACAGAACTTGGATACATGGTTT